ATGTGCCTGCTTGCAGAGGTACCCGATAGCTTTCCAGTCTTTGTCCTTCTCCAAAAATTGGGCTGTCAGAGGAATTTCCTGTAGGGACGTTTCCAGAGATGGATGGGGTGCAGTTTTCTTGTCTTGTTGAACTCAACTCCAACATCATCTAGCTTGATTCAAGCTGTTGTCTGGGAAGGCACAGGGTGGCAGGCGTAGGTGAGGGTGTCAGCCCCTAAGGGTGGGATGAGGTGGTGTAATGTGGTAGTTGCTTGGAGCCCGTGGCCCTGAGAAGCAGTCGGAGCCATTCAACATGCACCTGGGGAATAACAACAAAACCAGTTTCTGCCCCAGCCTCTCTGGAGTTCAGTATTGGCTCTCATCCCTGGCTTGCTTAGCTGTGAACTAAATGCTCAATGTATATCTGCTCGTGATGGTCTTATACTGGAAGTCATGAGCACAGTGCCAAACCCAGGTCATTAAATCAGCTAGCCCCAGGCACGCAGTTTGAAGGAGGCTGCGTTTCCCTGGCAGAAGACCTTCCCAGCTGATAGAGCGGGCAAAGGAGCGAGGGTCTTCCCCTGCACGGAGGGACTGTGGCTGTTCCCTCTGGTCACTGTAAGAAAATACCAAAGGAGCGGTGGGTGCTTGTACACCCACTAACCACATTTGATGTTGCTTTGGGTTATACCACCGGGATGGTACTCCTCCACTCCACTATGCAAGTGGCAGCACGACCTGAGTGTCACTCCTTGGACGTAGCATGACTGCCCACCTGCTTGTGCTGGGAGATGAACGCCATGAGAGTGCAGGCAGGAGGAGAGGTGCAATGACATGGTGATGGCAGCGGGGACCTGTTGTTTGTCATTATTTTGCTATATTGTGGGGAAAAAAAGAACACGACACTTGAAATTCTGGTAAAGCTCTCTAGCTAGGATGGTTTGGTTCAGTTCGTGGGTGTTTTTGGGTCTCTAATTGGTCAAGTGTACAAATACATCCAGGCGCGGATGCTGATGATCCATTTTTTCCAGTTCTCATCCATCTGGCTGTGCCAGTGAGACTTAGCTGGCTGAGTGCTGGAGAGTGAACACAAAAACTGTGCAAAGGTGGCAGCACGAATTAACTAACTCTCCATTCTCTAACTTCCCATTTATTATATGAATGTTCTTGGCTATCATTTTGCATGCCGTGTTTATCTTTGCTCATTATCTGCCCATCTCTAGATTGCTACAGCATTCAGTGATGCGGTGGCAAGGTGGAGCGGATGGACTCGGAGGAAGGCCATCCCTCCAAGCGCTCCCTCTAGAAGCAAGTGCATGGTTCAGCTGGTGGCTCGGTGGAAAAGAAAAGTCTGCAGTGCAGAAGACAGTAACTTAACAAGAGTTCCTTTCCATCCGATGTGCCCAGCATTGACAGATATTTTTTCCTTCTCCTTTGCACCGGTCCCTCATCGGCTGCTGCTCCCCCGTCCCTCTCCTGCCAGCTCCAGCAGCACCAGTTCAGCACCCCAGGAGGGAAGGCTGAGCTCTTATTCTGAACCATTTGGTTTTGTTTTGCTTTTTAAACACTAGTGTAACTTGATAGTGATGACGTTTTCTGCTCAACTCACGAACATCTACTTCTGGGGACTGGCCAAATGCAGAGGGTGATGCGGTTCTGGTTCCAAATAACACAGACTTCGTCACCGCTCCCAGGGCAGTCTGGCAAGGAGGCTCTCATTTCGTGGGTACTATAAGGAAGGAGGGCCGAGATGTGCTTTTAGTGACTCAGACCTCTTACCTCCTGCAGTGTCTGTGCTGCCCTGCTAGCCCACCTGGCAGAAAAATACATCCCCCATCCACCTACCAGCTGCCCTGTGCCCTTTGCCCAGTTTTGAACTGCCAGCTAGCGGGGAGCAGAGTCACGCTCCTCCAGACCTTCTGGCACAGGAATGAAATGTAGTGTCTAGTTTGGGACATTTTTCATGCACACAGGATTTGGGGGTTTGTATTTTTCAGGAAAATGGCAGCTTTAAGTCAAGTCCAAAATATTTGCAGGCTTGACATGAATTGCTTTCACTAAAAAGAAAAACACATTAAAAGTCAGAATACTTCATTTTAGAACTTGACAAATGAAACAAACAATCCCAAATGATGTTTCATTGCTCTGTCTTTTTTTTTTTTTTCCCCCTTCCCATAAAGTAAAAATACTTGAAACATTTTGCTGACCCTGAGATTCCCCTCTCCTCTTTACGAATCTTGTTTGCTACTGAGCTAAACCCCTCCATAGCTCGCCCATACACAAGAGACCTTGGGGTGGGGTGTGTGACACCAGACGTCTCCAGGAAAGTGCTTTGGGCTCCCAGCTCCTGCTCTCCGCATCCTCTGATGCCAGGAACAAAATTCTGGGATAGCCATTTCCGAGGACAGAAAGCAGCCGTCTCTCCTTTGTAATGTTAATGTAGACTGAAGGTATGACCTACTTTCCAGCCACAATGAAGTGCAGGATGGTTTTAACTCCTCTGCGCTCAGTTTTCCCAGCGTGAGCTGAGACGTGCTTTGGACGCGTGCATTTTCCTGCCAGCTGTCATTGCTTATCGCGAATGAGCCTCCTTTTCTGCTCTGCACTGTGGTATGTTCATGTCTCTCCTGCTTAGAAAGCAACAAGGACTTATTTGAGCAACTGCCTCATAACCAGAATATCTTCCTTCATCCTGGGCAGAGGCCAAGCCCTCTGCACTCTGCAAAACCTCATTCGTTTTGTTCGAGTGTCGCGCACTGCTTGGTTGCTGTGTGCCTCGCTGTAGCGGAGGAGTGTCTGTCTACAGATGCTCCTCTCCCCGTCTTCTCCCTGGAGCCTGGCTCAGGAATTACAGTCAGGAAAGTAGGTTGCAGGTGGTTTGGGGGGGGGGATTCCGTTCTCGTTTTGCTGTATCTCCGCCCAGGACTCTGGAGCATTTCTGCCATGCAAAGAGGAGAAGAGAGTTTGTGTTCGTATCTGGGCAGCTCTGTATGCTGAAGGCTGGTGGCAAATTTAATGCTGGCTACAAAAGGGTCAGAAACGCACCCGTTTGGTGTGAGACCAAGGCATGAATTTGCTGTTTTGTGCCTCTGAAGCAGAGCAACCCCATACTGTAGAATATTGTTATTTCCTCGGTGCATTTTATTTTGCCCTCTGTTCCCTTCATGTTATAGCTAAAGAGAGGTTTATCCTTCACCATAGTGAGGCCGTTTTGATGGATACAGTCAGTTTTGGGACAAACATGTTTATCTGAGCAACCTGAGTTGCTCTGAATAGGCTGGTGTTAAGGAAAGGGTTGGGACCTGGTACATCGTGTGGTGGATGTGCTTTGAAGGGAAGGAGCAGGCTTGGATGCAATATGCAGGTATCTGCTTGGATGCTTAGTCTCAGTGTTGGTCATCCGAAGGAGAGGCAGAGGGTTGGCGAGCTGGGCCCTGTCACGTGGGAGGGACTATGGACAGCTGGTGGGGAAGTCACCAACGCGGAGTGATGGAGCCAACAGATGAACCTGGTAATGCCATAAATTAAACGGTGCAATTAGCATGCCAGATCTACTTATCGGCTCAGACCCGGTGTCGACTCTGTGTCTTTGGTAGCCAAGATAAAGCTCACACACCATGAAATCAAACTGAGTGAAAAGGGGCATCTTTCCAACTGCTCCAGTCACCGCTTGCACGCAGAGCTGTGCTGCGGCTGGGAGAAAAGGGAGCAGCGGGACCGACAGCCGTGTCGCTGCCCTCCAAACGCGAGCCAGGCTTGCTGCGCTGAACAAAACGGCTGCCCGCATCTGAGGGGCTGGCTCGCGGGCACCCCTTGGCTGGTTGCCTCCACTGACCCGGGCAAGGAAATCAGCCAGAGCACGTCACCAGCATAAGACTGAGCAATGTCTTCAGTGTGCACTCTGGAGTTAAGAAGGTGAAAAATACACATCTTGATTTGCGCTGCAGCTGAGGTGCCTCTCAGCAGACAGACACCCACTGCCAACACTCACTGCATCCTTTTGCAGCTTTTACTGTGTGCAACTGGTGTGGTTTCTCCCCGTAAGTCTTGCTCATTGGCTTCATCCGCTGCCGAGACTTCATTATCTGTTGCTGGTTGGGACACACGAGGAAATGGGGGCAAGCGATGCCCTGTTGCCACAAGCTGCCAGAGATCATGGTGCCTCCTTCTCCATGGTGCTGTCTGTTTGCTGTTGATGCTCTGATAGTCCTTGGAGGTCAGAGCCATGGGGACCTAATATTTCTTTTCACAATGCCTCCAATAATACTCTATTTCTTGTTCCCCCTCCCTAATCCATCATGACTTGCTGCTTTCCCCCTGCAGCTTCTCCACCCGCTGCCTGAGTGACTCCACTGGAGCTCACCTTGCGCAGGTGGAGCTTGCACCCTCCTCCACCCAGGCGTGTGGGGTACAGCCCTCGCAGACCTGCCCTGATGGGAAGCTCTGTCTTGGTGGCCACCTCCACTTGTCCCAGGCTCTCCTGGCTCGGTAGATGGTTCCTGGTTGTTGTGCAGCGCAGACACTGGAGAAGTTGGTGTTTCCAAATAAACACCATTAATTCAAAGGCTGGGATGGACACGGCGAGGTCAGTGGTTGTCCCGCGCTGGTCGGTGCGCTGCTGGTATTCCTGATCCTGGAAAGTCTTGCCAGCTCCAGCAAGAAGCATGCTGCGTGCCGGTATGGGGTTAAAAAGCTTCAGTCATTCAGGAAAGCAGCAGGCAGAGCAGCCTCCCATGGCAAACGGTTTCAGGGGAAAAAAAAGAAATGGAGAATATACATTTTGGTAAATTTTTAATGCTCTGCATATGCTTTTAAAGGGAAAACATCAGTTAAAAAGCCCAGCTATTTAAGGTGAATTTTATGGGCCTTTTTTGAGGGAAATTAATTTCTTTCCGTAAAATCTCTCATTTCAAAAGAATTCTTTCTTTCCACTTAATTTTACTGTAAAATTCCCAAATGTTCCCACAATAGTGTGGGACCGAAGGGACCTTGCAGGTTCTCCCCTTGGGTCCCTAGCTACCATGAACACCACGACAGCGATCCTGGTGGTGGCGACAACTCCCGTGGGGTTAAGAACCTTCTCCACCCCCCGGACAGCGGAGGAGGAATCGGGAAGGAGCGGGTGGGCGAGGATGACAACTAGCAGGTAGCGCAGATAGAGGCGACGGTCAGCTCATGGACCACCCATAGATCGGGGAAACATCTTTAAACTAGTCAGCCAATAGTTATGAATATTTTCTTTTATTTTTCCCATTGGTTTCCATTTCCTGGGGGTCACTGGGGTTTGTTAAACGTTGGCAGCCTGTGCCCAAAGTCGGGTTCTAGGAATGGGGGTGATTTGCTGGAGTCTTCTGTGCTCCTGCTTCTGTCAGAGATTTTGGGGTCGATGCTGCCGAGGTGTCTGCGTTAGGTGAGGTTGAATCTGTGGGTAAGAAGTGATCGTTGCTGTTTCTTTTCATAAGACAGCTGCTGTACTGCTGGCTGGTTTTATCTTTTTTTGAGGGAAGCTGTCTGGTGGGTGTTTAGTTTTTTGCTGAAGAGATTGATTCGGTTCTTAGGAACTGGTGTTTGGGATAAGGTCTCTGAAAAAAATCACTGTTTCCACTTACTTTCTAGGACTAGAGTTTATAATAAATAGCAAGGTTACATTAAAAATGCCTACAATTTAGGCCAGTGATTCCTCCTCTAGCAGAACCTGCCCTGGCACCAGTTGTCCAGTGGCGAGATCCTCGTGGAAGTGTGAATCATTCTCAGTTATTAATCTTGCTGCTTTTTGCTGTAGCTGTATGTTATCTGCTCGCAAGCAGACATGCTGAAGCTGCTGGACTTGCAGCCAGTTCCAGTTCTCTCCTGCGCATCTCATGCCGCCTCTGTTGTGATTTATAGACAGTGATGCCAGGAGACCAGGTGGAAAATGCGCTCCATCACCTGCAGATAGGTGTGTGCTGAGCGTGGCCTCACCGGCTGCTCGTTGCTGAGGCTTCACCCAAGGTGTGGTTGCTCCTATAAGCAGAGACATATATATAAAACCCTGTATTTTTGATTGTCTATTCTTGGCTCTCACTCGGGACATCTCCTGTGTTTCTGTTCCTCCTGGGAGAGATGCAAACCACCTCTGTCACCTGCTCCCCAAGAGATCATCTGGAAAAGCTGAAATAAAGCCACTAAAAGGCCATTAAGGTAGGTGAGGACAGGGTGGGAACGATCCTGAGGAGCAGGGTGAGCTTTTCCCCACTCCAGTCCTTGGGATTTAGAGATCTGGGGCTAAGCTTGAAGGAGTTATGAGGCATTTTCTGTGGTCAGGGCTTCAGTAAGGAGATTTGTTATCGGGTAGCTCTGAAAAGTGCAGCATTGTACGACAGCCTGTGTCTTGCTGAACCAGCACACAGAAATCCTGAGCTCCGAGGTACTTTAAGAAATGGATTGCTAATTATTTATGTTAGCATAACATTCAGGAAAGGAACTTTCCCTTCATTCTTTGCTTTCTTTTATACCCAAAGGAATAAGCTGCTTTTATAATTTATTCCAGGCTTTGCTAGAACAAAAGTTATCAAGCATTTATCGCAAATTTGGCCTCTGTCTCTGGGAACAGATGTCAGTCAGAGCTTGTTATGGAGGTGGTGATACAGAAAGCAGCATTTAACCAAGTTAGCATGAAAGTGAGGAACGAGTGCAGCGGTCCTGAGCACTGCTGGGCTGGCAGGATGCGTGCCCAGCTCCTGCACAGCAGCATATGAGCAAGAAAGGTTTGATGGTCGGCCATCCTGCTTGTAAAAAAGGCAAATTACATGGAGGAACTTATTTAACGAGATTTTGTTGCACTTGAAGTGCTATAAACGACAACATCCTAAGCCTACCAAATCTCAGTGTTTCTGTATAACCCGTGAAGATACAGAAAGGGCTGCAGATCAAGCCATTTATTCTTCTTTATGAGGTTATCTCCTAAAATCTTCTTTTTTGCTATTTTTTTACCTTTCACAGCTGATTTCCTCTTCCGGCACTGGCTTGCCCGTCACCTCTGCTTTGTTCTCAGCTGTTCGCTGTGCAGCCAGGGATGCTTCGGCAGGACTGTCAGGACGTGCTTGTCAGCCGGCTCCTTCCATCTCTCAGTTTCTCTTATTTTTAGTGATAATTTCCGACTTGTTCTGGCCTAACTCACAGTGGCTTC